GAGACAGGCAATCAACTCCGTGGTGGGATCTACCACAAGCAGCTGAGTAGATGCTTTAGGGATGTGGTCTGCTTCCCTCATATATAAGCAGCAGCTTTGGGAATGGTCTCTAGCTGAAGGCATGCTTGAACCCTGCATGTAGCAGAGTCATTGTTCAGCAGCCTGCCATGTTGCCCTGCCAATCTTGGGACTTGTGACGGACTTGAATTAATGGTCTGCCGTGTAGTTTGGTAATATTGGGACTGTGCCTTTTCACTTATCAACTTTAGGTTTGTCAGCCTCAGCAGCTAGCAGCTGCCTGAAAGAAAAGATGCCTCCAGCTTCAGTGGGCTGGGAGCAAGAGGCAGAGCTGAAGCCCAAGGTCAAAGGGCTTTCACCCAGCCCCTCGAGCCTGGCACCTGGAACTCAGACTTGTAACCTCCAAAACTGTAAGAGAATAAACCCTTCTTTGTTAAAGCCCACCCATTTGTGGTATATTTCCTGTTAGAGCAGCACAGAGGTAACCAGAACATTAGCCCAACATTGCAGTATATGTGCATATTATTTTATATGATTGATTTTCGTATTTTATTCTTTTTAATAATTTTTTAAATAGTTTCTGTATTTTTTATTGATTCTCTCTATTCGATGTGACACTGTCATCATACTTAACTTCTTTCATTGTGCTTTCCATTAGTTCTCTGAACGTACTGGTAATGGCTCCTTTGACATCTTTTTCTGTTAAATCCTACATGTAGTCACTCTCACAGGCAATTTCTGTCGACTGTTGTGCTTTTATTTGGCATATAGGTCACATGTTCCTTTTCTTTGCATGCCTCATAATTTTTTTTTGTTGAAAACTAGACATTTTATAAAATATATTGTAGCAACTGTGAGTACTGTCCCCCACCCACAATTTAGTATTGTTATTTGCTTGTTTACTGTTCAGTGACTGGTTGGATTATATTAGTGAAGCTCATTTTCCCTTGTTCCCATCCTTCACTCCCACACACATAGATAGTTAAGCCTCTTACATTGTACCTCAGGGGATCACAGCTTTGGGTATGCCCACAGTCACCCTGGGAGAACAGGACCATTGGTCAGGTTTTTTTCTCTCTTTTCTTGACTATGTCCAGCTGTTGTTGTTGTTATGTGCCATCAAGTCGGACACGACTCATAGCGACCCCTCCTTGGGTTTCCAAGGCAGTATCACAACTGAAGTAGATTGCCCCATCTTCCTTCAAGTCCAGCTGTTAATCTCCACTAAATGCTGGCTAATTGCTCCTTCCCCACCCCCACAACAATGACCTGGGCCATAAATTGCTTCCTAGACTAAGCCAATCAAAGTGTTACTCCTTTGAAGGAACAGTTTCTGAGGTCAGTGTTTGATAGCTGTTTCACCCCAGAAGGGATTCTCTCAGCTGTCTTATCCCCCAGTTCCACCTTACATACTAGGCAACCTACAGTCTAGTCTCTGTCTTCATTAAATCTACCCATTCCCCAACTGTCCTTCACCACAACTTTCACTGTTCTTGAGAGCACCCATAGGTTTTAATCTCTCCACATCTTGTTGCAAATGAAATCTTTTCCCTTAGGAAGAGATTGGTAACATGTTTCTTCCCTCCGGCAAAATCTCAGAGCCAAGGGTCTGAAGCTAAGGGTGGGGACCAAAGACAAACTTCTCTGTGACCCATAACCCTACTCTAGGGGCTGTACCCTCAGAGGGGGAACAGTCCGAGGTCCCTTCAAGCTTGCCTCTTTTGATGTGGAACCAACAACTCAGGAGATGGGGTAAAGGTGGTTGGAGCCCAGTATTCTCAGCATGAATGCACTCAAGGTAGAATTTCGGTTCCATGTATATCAGCCTGGTCAGAAGAAAAGAGCTCGTACCTCTCATCCACACTCAGCCAGGCCTTGTTGTTGTTTTAGGTGTCATCGAGTCATCTCCGACTCATAGCGACCCTGTGTACAACAGAATGAAACACTGCCCAGTCCTTTGCCAGCCTCACAGTCCTTGCTCTACCTGAGCCCATCATTGCAGCCACTGTGTCAATTCATCTCGTTGAGGGCCTTCTCCTTTTTCAGTGATCCTCCACTTTACCAAGCATGACATCCTTCTCCAGGGAATGGTCCCTTCTGACAACATGACCAAAGTAGGTCAGATGAAATCTGGCCATTCTCACTTCCAAGGAGCATTCTGGCTGCACTTCCTCCAGGACAGATGTGTTAGCTCTTTTGGCAGTCCATGGTACTTTCAGCATTCTTCACCAGCACCACAACTCAAAAGCATCAACTCTTCTTCGGTCTTCCTTATTCATTGTCCAGCTCTCACATGCATATGAGGCAACTGAAAATATCATGGCTTGGGTTAGGTGTACCTTACTCTTCAAAGAGACATCTTTGCTCTTCAGAACTTTAAAGAGGTCTTTTGCAGCAGATTTGCCCAGTGCAATATGTCACCTGATGTCCTGACTACTGCTTCCATTGGTGTTGACTGTGGAACCAGTAATATGAAATCTTTGACAACTTCAATCTTTTTTCCATTTATCATGATGCTGCTTATTGGTCCAGTTTGAGGATTTTCGTTTTGTTTATGTTGAGGCATAATCCATATTGCAAACTGTAGTCTTTAATCTTCATCAGTAACTGCTTCAAGGCATCCTCACTTTCAGCAAGCAAAGTTGTGTTGTCTGCATATCACAGGTTGTTAATGAGCCTTCCTCCAATCCTGATGCCACACTCTTCTTCATGCAGTCCAACTTCTTTAGCATCACTGATAGGCAGCTAGGGTGAGGAAGAGAAATGTTGAAGTCCTGACTCTCCCTGAAGGAGAAAGACAGGAGAGTTTTGGAATTTAGCTCCTGGAAGTGTGGACGAGAGAGGGAAAAGAAGAATTCTGTGTCTTCTGCTCTTCAGGGAGAGGGGTCAGCACTTTTTTCTTCATTACAATCCACTGGCCATCCCTCTAGCACAGTGCTTAAAAGACACCCTCTCTATTAAAATTTTGAATGGACAAATTCATTACGTAGTCATTCCCTTTGCAGAATGACTATATAAAAACACTTGAGCAGGTGTTAAAAAATATAATGAAATACTTATCATCAAAGCTTAGTTTTTTAATAGAAAAAATTACTAATCTACTTAAATATCCATCAATTGAGGACATGGGAAATAGTGATGGTCTTTTCCTGCAATGGAATACTACATAGCTGCTACAAATAATATAGTTCTATGAAAACTAATTCGTTTCCATGGAAAGCAGTTTTCAGAACAAAATACCATAATCTAAAACACACACACAATATATATACATATAAATGGAGAAAATACCTGAAATAGCACACTTTTAACAATAATAATGGAATTGTAGAGGAAGTGAGAGAGGAGAGAATGTACATTTTTTTAACCTTATAGAGTTCTGTAACAACTGGATTTGTTTTTACAGTGAGTGTGTAGTTAAGGTTGTGTATCAACTTGGCTGGGCCTGGTTTTGAGTGGCTGAGCAGCTGGATGTAGTTATTCCCTATGATGAGACTGGTACTCAGCTCCATGGTGGTATCTACTGGAGTAGCTGAGTAGCTGCCTTAGGGATGTGGCCTGCTTCCAGTGTCTAAGGATAAGTTTGAGAAAGGTCTCTGCAGCTTTTTGGCACACTTGGACCACAGGTAGCCAAGTCTTCAGTCAGCAGCCTGCCATGTTTCCTTCTGATCTTGGGACTGTCTCCGGACTTGAACTAGTGACCTGCCAAGTTGTTTGGTAATTTTGGGACTTTACCATTTCATTTGTCGACCTCAGCTTTGTCCGTCTGAGCAGCCAGCAGCTGCCTGAGTTAGGAGAAGCCGCCAGCTTCAGTGGGCCAGGAGCAAGAGGCAGAGCTGAAGCTCAAAGTTGAGGGCTTTCACCCATCTCCTAGAGCTGGCACTTTGAACTCTGACTTCTAGCCTCCTAAACTGTAAGAGAATAAACTCCTGTTTGTTAAAGCCACCCATTGGTGGTATGTTCTGTTAGAGCAGCACTAGAGACCAAAACAGTGCATATATATCATCTTCTTCATAATAACAATAATAACAAGAAAAAGTAAAATGCAAATCTGGAAGGAAAAAGGCTCCTCTTCCCCATGACCAGCTCAGTGGCCTGTGGCTCAAGACCAGAGTCTCCGCCACACTTGTTAGTTCCTCTGCTCGTGACTTGGCGTGTTCTGAGGTCGTCTCTGTGCTAAGCCCTGTAGGGGGTAGTGCTTCGTGAGGACGGAGGCACAGTCCCTTGGTCATGGGCTCACTCTCCATTTTTGGTCATGAACACATATCCAATTTATGATGATTCCATGCAAAAATGTTCTGTTGGAAGAGGATACAAAATCCTCTCTTAGTGCAAAGAAGGTAGGGATGGGGAGGGTCAGACAGAGATGGGGAAGGGTCCTCCTTGAAGAAGAAGCAGAGGTAGGGACAGGTAGGGTGGCCAAAAGGGACAGTCAGTCCCTGGAGCTGGAAAAGGGCCTGGAGGAGAGGCGAGGCTGAGGAGGCAGGGGAGGTCCGGTCTCGGAAGCCCTGGGTGCCAGGCCATACACTGAGACCTCTTCTTGGTGGGGGTGGCGGGTGGGGGGAGCCAATGATGAACACCAGGGTGGGGCTGATGAGAAAGGCAGGCTGGAGGCAGGGCTGTACTCCCGAGGGTATCATACGCCCACATTCTAGTATGGAGCCCCAAGGCTGGCCCCAAGGGAACCCCTTTAGCCCCACCTGACCCCTTCCCTCCTCTTTCCTCTGGCTCTGCTCATTAGCTGGTGTTCCTTGCCCACCTAACACCCACTGGACTGTGAGGTCCTGTCAGGCAGGGTAGGGTGTGAGTCCCTTTCATCTTTGCACACACACATGCTGTATACACAGAAGGTGCTTGATAAGCGCATGTTCAACTCTTGTCTCCAGGTGTGAACCCGGCCTCCCCCAGCAGCCATACTGGAGTTGGAGTCAACCAAGGGAAAAGAAAGGAAGGGCAGAGTGGGCCAGCCCCAAGGCTTTTACCTCACGAGGTTGGTGCAGGGCCCGGGCCACCGGCAGCTCTGGTACACACGCTGGACCACTGTCTCTGAGCCATTCTGCACCTGGCAGGACACAGTCCGTGTCACCGTGTGATGGCACCAGTGTCTGTGGGGAGAGGAACAGTCACATCAGCCCTATCTGTCCCTAGAGGCACTGACTGTACCTCAGAAAGCTGGGCTAGCTGAGGGACACTCCACAAACATGGGGGTCACTCTCTTGGGCAGGAAGTCCACTGAGACCCTCTGTCCATGCTATTGGGGAAAGGGAGAGCACCTACACCTCTTGGCCGCCATGTCCTGGCATCATTTCAGTTTCTTAGTCAGTCAGTCATCAAATACTCCTTGTGGAATCAGCGAGGAGACTCAAGCCCTGCCCACTGGGAAACCCCACTCTGCTGAAGAAGACAGACTCACAGGAATGCAAGGCAATGAGAACATGATGGACACAAGGAGCTATGAGGAGAAGACGAGCCACACCCCAGCAGTTCCTCAGAAAGGCCAACCAGCTGAGCACTGAAAGATAAGGGTCAGAGACCAAAAAGTGTGAGGACATTGACAGGAACAGCATTAGCAGAGAAGGGAACAGAATGAGCAAAGGCACAGAGATCAAGGACACCATGGCCTGCATGTTATTAGACATGGCTGGAAAGCCAAAGGAAGGAGAGGAACCAGGGAAGAAGTACATTACCTGCCAGGCTACAGGTGGGCTTTGTTGTGAAGTCAGTGAAGAGGCAATGAAGGATCCAGGCAGGAAAGTGATTGGAATGGATCTGTGTTTTAGAGCAGTCAATCTGGCTCTACAGTGTGTAGGACGGAATGGCCAGGAGAGATTAAGGCAAGAGGCCAGTTAGAAAGCTGAGATCCAGAGAAGAGGTGGGAGGGCCTGAGCTTGGGCAGTAGTAGTGGAAGAGGAAAACATGTTAACATTGGAGCAAGATGGCAGACATGGCACATAGTCCTGCCTCCCCTGCCTAGCCTCTTTCCCTAGAAATTTAAACTCTAAAGAGTTCATAACAACATTGGAAAACAGAAGCAGTGGGCCAGAAATTCTGAGGAATCCTGAGAGACAGAAAGTAAATAGGACTCACTTGAAGGAGGAAAGAACATCACAAACATGCAGGGTCAGATGAGGGTAAATAGTGGGAGAAGAAGATGTGACTAATGAGACATGAGAGGGGCCCAGAGGTGACTGCCAAGGGGTTGGTTCAGGGACCACAGTAGGCACATGACAGGCAGAACCCAGCTCCCTATCCCTGCTGGTGTCAGGAATGTGCACTGGACTCGCCTTCTTTGAGACAAGGGTGGCCAGAGTGGTACCTGGCCAGAAAGCTGGGCAGTGTCTTAAAATCAGGTGACTTCCAGGAGGAATGGGGACCCTCCCAAGGCCAGATACCCTACCCTTCACACATACTACCAATCTTGCAGAAGGCAAAGCTGTAGAAAACAGAGAACAACAGAAAAGCTCATTGGAAACTCCAAATACCAAGAATTCCAAATTATTGAAAGGCCACCATCATGAAAGAAAGACTCAACCAATCAGACAATAAACCACACCTCAAGCAAAACAAAAAAAGCAAATAGATGAAGATGATTTTTAAAGCACAATCAACATTTTGAAATGGATAAGAGAGGATTTGTTACCCATAAAAAAAATTATGAAATAAAAAAATTACATTTCTTGAAAATGAAAAGTATGATTGTAAATATAAAAAGCCCAACAGATGGGCTGAAAAGCAGACTGCAGATAGCTAAAGAGTGATCTGGTGACTGGAAATCTAAGAAATGAGCTCTCTCAAGATGCATCAGAAAAGGGAAGGAAAAAAAAAAGAAAAGAAACACTTCCATCAAGTTGATTCCAATTCATAGTGACCCTATAAGACAGAGTAGAACTCCCCCCCATAGGGTTTCCAAGACTATAAATCTTTATGGAAGCACACTGCCACATCTTTCTCCAGTGGAGTGGCTGGTGGGTTCAAATCACCAATCTTTTGGTTAGCAGACAAATGTCTTAGAGCTCCTATACAAAAGGAAAAAAAAAAAAATCCACTGTTACTAAGTCAATTCCAACTCACCATGACCCCTATAAGGTTTCTAAGGCTACAAATCTTTACAGAAGTGGATTGTCTCATCTTTCTCTCACAGAGTGACTAGTGGGTTCAAACCACTGACCTTTTGGTCAGCAGCCCAATACCTTAAACACAGCGCCACCAGACGTCCTTATAAAAGGGCAATTGTTCTTGTTGTTGTTATGTGCCATCAAGTTGGACCCGACTCATAGTGACCCCTCCTTGGGTTGCTGAGACAGTATCACTACAGAAGTAGATTGCCCAACCTTCCTTCCGAGGAGTGGCTGGTGGGTTTGAACCGCCAGCCTTCTGGTTAGCAGTCAAGTGCCTTAGGTATTATGCTACCAGAGCTCCCAAAGAGCAATAGTAAGATTTAATAACAGCCAAGATCTAAAATACAAGGTGATTTCAATATGGAGGGAGGCACAGCAAGGGAGAGACAGTGCTAAGGGGGCTGAGGGAACCAAAATTGCTGAGATACTTGTCTTGCTTGGTAAAGGATATATAAGGTGAACAGTGTTAGATGTCGCAGAAAACTATTCAATTTCAAGTGTTTTTGAATTTTAAAAATAAATACTAAAAGGCTAGAAGGAGGGCATAAAACTGACAGAATATGAAAATAAAAAGTAAAACATAGATAATTTGACCAAAACAACAAAACACTGGAGAAGTGACCAAGTAGTAAAAGAAAATACAGTAAAATGGAAAGCACTGGAAGTGGAAAGAAGAAAGGGACTAACAAAGATGACACACAAATTACTGAAATAGATCATTAACAAAAGTGAACCAGCAAAACCAAACATGGCTTAAAAAATATCACACAAACAAAGCTTAGATACATTTTAATAAGAAATTAAAAAAAGACATATATTAAAATTAGGAGCATGGCAAAAATTCCAGATACAGAGAATTAAAATAAGTAACTATTATGCATGATCTGACATCAAAACTTTTCAAAATCTTGACAACTGGAAAATTTCCCAGGAAAATATAAATTCCCACTATTGGCAGGTCAAAAATAGGAATCACCAACACAGTAGAAGAAAAATAAAAAAGTAATCAGAAGTCAACCCCTTTCCCCAAAGGCACATAAGATCTAGTTCAAAATCTGGTTCTGCCAACAAAGAGAAATCTGAGAAGGAGATTAAGAAAACAGCTCTATTTACAATAGCATCTAAGAAAACAGAATAAAATATCTAGCAATAAATTTATCCAAGGATGTGAAAGACTTTCACAATGAAAATTATAAAACACTGCTGAAAGACCCTATATGACTATGAGACCAGAAGGACTAGATGGTGCCCGGCTACTACTGTCATCCACTTGGAGGGGGATCTATGTAGGAGATCCTGGACAGAGAGGGAGAATAATGTGGAACAAAACTCAAAATCATTTGGAGAAAAAAAAAAAGGGAGGGACCAGGTTTGCTGGTCCAATAGAGCCTGGTAGAGCCACTGAGACTATGGCCCCTAGCTGCCCTTCAGGTCTGGAATTGAACCCACACCCGTGGTTTCCAGTCAAACAAAAGACAGGCATATGAGTTGAACATTTACCTCAGGTAGATACACTCCTTGGAGAGAAGAATCATGGGAGAAAGAAGGGCCGTGTATGCACAGGGAGACAGCTCAGGGGGCAGGAGTGCATGGAGGGATGGACACTGGGAAGAGGTAACTATGGGGAGGAAGTGGGAAGGGAGCTGTTGCATT